ACCTTACCTACCAATCTTTAAGGTATACATTAGCTCCATATGCTATTAATAATTCAGTTGCAGCTTCACTCTTGCTATTCATAGCAATAAGATGGAGTGGGGTCTTGTGGTTCTTGAGTGCATTCACTGTGGCACCTAAAAGAATAATGGAAATTCTAGATATCATTATATATGATTTGTGGTTAATAGTTACAAAGCAAAAGAAATGGGCTAAACACCAAATGTCATATAGCACTTTAGAAAGGTGTGTAGTAGAAAAGGTAAAGAGGGAGGTTAGTTGAAGATTAAATGTGCTCTATGTCGAAAGGCATACAGCTGTTCAGGATAGTATGGCATTGAAAGCTAAGAGGTGTGAGGGTAGAGAGGGTGAGTAAATGGGCTAAGGTAGGGATTAACAAGGGTGATTAGATCAAAGTTGTCCAAGGAAGAAATGTGGGATTCTGCAAGGCTGTCTGTAGGGTAAAGTAGGGATTAGCAAAAGCAGAAAGGGGGTTTAAAGGTGGTTAGATCAAAGTTTCAGGAGAAACATCAGGAGGGAGAGAATCCAAGGACTGGGGCTGTTGTGCCAAAAAGGCACATGCCTATCCAGGGGGAAGCAGAGAGGATAACAGGGAAGGAAGGGGAGATGATGCAGATTAGGCAGGGGGAATGGGATGTGTTGGGAGGGAGTGGAAAGAAGGGGTGTATAGGGAACATGAATAGGAGGAAGATAGATATTGGCAGTTACTTTCAGGGGAGAGGGAATGTGAGCAGAGAGATTGAAAGATAGATGAGGTGTAGGCATGTTATCTTGGGTCATGATTAGATAGTCTTGAATGTCTCCGAGAGTTTCTGAAACGGAATAGGTTGGGGAGGTCTGAGAAACAAAAGTTTTCTTATGAGGGGGAAAGAGGATATAGGCATCTGAGGAGTAAAGGAAGAGGTACGTGGAGGAGAGGGTGTGGTAAGAAAAGATGGGGTGGAATGTTTAGATTGTCTGCTATGGGTAGAGCGAGGAGGTAGAGGGATAGGTGTCTGGGCAGTGGTTGAGACTGAGGTATCTGGATTTAGAGTGGCCAAAGAATTTGAATGGGAAAGCAAGAGGGTAGAGTAGCAAAAGTAATATGGAGGAGGAATAGATATGAGGTAGTGTAGAAACATCTAGGGGTGAAGGTGGAAGGGTAGAACAAAGGACAGCAATGGAGTAGGAAGTGAGAGAAATACCCCATTGACAAGCTTTCCATCTGGCCTTGAATTTGAGAAGTACCATCTCAGACTCAAACTTGTAGATAGGGCAGCCCTAATAAAATACATTATGAGAGCCACCAATATTGGCACACGTGCATAATTATGTAGAGCAGGTTTATCAATCATGACCAGGTTGGGCACACAAACGGTATAAGGCTGTGGAGTGACAGTTTGGTAGGGTAGCCTGGATGCTAATAATTCTGATATTAACTGGGGGGTGGGAGGGTTGATATGGCTGGGAGTGGAACTCTTCTCCAATATAAAAACTGGTGGAGGACTTACAGTGCCTACTAGGGGGAATGGTGTAGCATAGTACTGATACTACATCATAGTCTTCTATTACAAACTGATCAATCCATGTCATGGACAGGGCAGATGTCTGGGAGTAAAGACAGTTCCAGTACATGTACTGAGGGAAGGATGAGGCTGGGCAGGAATGGGTTTGCCAGTGAAATAATGCTTTAGCTTGGGATTCAAGATTGGGATATAACTGACAAAGCAGAAACAAATGAGGTGGCTGTGGAAGAAAACTTTGCCTACTTGTTTTTGGAGATACTGCTGGCAGAGGAGAGTGATGTCAGAGTAAGGTATTGTAGAGGGGATCAAATTCAAAATGTTTGTGGAGGTGGAGGTAATAGGAGAACAAGGACATACGGAAGAGGGTGTAGCATTAAGAGAGGTAGTACTCTCTGGAGTAATAATAAGGGAGAGGGAGAACAGCTGTGAGGGTGCATGAGATGAAGCAGAGGATGTTGGGAGAGAGGGAATGTTTTCTGGAGTTTGAATAATGACCTGGGTGGGTGCTTTGGACTTGACTGAGGTGATAGTAGGAATTGAAGAGGGGTAGTAGTAGCAGTTTTTAGAGTCATGTTCATTGGAGAGCCAGTAGGGTCAGTAGGGGCTAATTGATAGAGGGGTAAACCTCACTGCCCCTAATAGGAGTACAAAATCTTCAATATTAGTCATGGCAAGCTTGGAGTATGTTTTGGAGAGAAACAACCCACTCCTTAAGTTCCCCTCGAGATATAAAGGCTCTCACACCTTTGGAAGCGGAAGTGGTGGATAGTAGAAGGGGTGGAGAAGAGAAGGAAATAGAGAGGGGAAGAAGAAAAAATGTGCAAAATTAGTTGTATCAATGGCTGAGGCCCAAGGTAGAGGTGATCCCCAGCATTAGGTCCTAGTCTCTGTCTCTTAGTTCCCTTCTGACAACAATGGGCAAAGGAAGGGGGTGGGGAGATTATTGGTAAAATATCCTGCTGTACTTGAATTGTTTAATAATGATAAGTGAATTAACCCATTAACCTCGGGTAAATAAAGACTGGCAAGTGTTGGGGAGCATCAACAACTTCCCCTGTTTGCGCCTCATTTGGGAGTTAACTGGCAACATTAGCTGGCATTGGGTTAATATATAGAAATACACTTTTAATGAAAATCAGTTTAATGTTTTTTGTGAATATATAGAGATAGCTTAAACATTCTAATAGTGTCAATTGGGACTGATGTGCTCACTCTGCTTTACGTCTCTTTTTGATGTGTATGTTCTTACTGATGTATGTGAAGCTGCAGTAAGAGACATGGTCTCTGCTATACTTTCTTCTATTGCAAATAGCTACTGACAAGATATCTGCATTGTATTGGTTGATTCTAAAGTGGTATCTAGCTGTAATCAAGATGCTTATGAGATGTCTGATGGCCTTCATGGTTTGCAGGTTGAAACCAATAGGGAGAAGAGCCTTCTTTTTTTGGAACATATGTTCGCAGTGATTGGGGTATGTCCAGAATTGGTGTTTTTACTTATCACCAAATTCTTTGGTACCCACCAAAGAATAGCGGTGGCTACCTTTGTCCTTATTTCAAAACCTCTAGTCCATCCATGACTGCCCCAAAGAATTCAGTCTTAACAGATTGTGAAATGGGGGTGTGTGCTTGGGGTTTGCCATGCCTATCTGAAATCAATTCATACTGCAACAACCAATCCAGTAGCAATGAAATGCTATATTTAGTTAGGTGTTAACCCCTTGGATCTGGTTGCTTCACAGCAATCATATGGACAAAAACATGGGCACATTAGGTTTATGGAAGCAGCTGCTCTGCCAGGTGTACAGCTTACAGGTCAGGTGCATGTGAACACTCATGTGCAGTGATTATGTCACCCCTTTGCAATGTCACTTTCTCTTTTTATGCCTAAGCGTTTTTAGCTCTTTTGCCATTTTTGCCAAGTCCACATTTGTTATTTGATTTACCCTGTACAGATGGTAATAGATTGTTTTCCTTGCACAGACTATATCATCCTTCTACATAGTCTATAACTCAATGCAAAAAAAATAAAAAATAAATAAATAATAATAATATGTATTATTTTGTTATTTGTGTTATCATTGTAATCAGCCTAACTTTTTCATGATGTGATGGTCACATCATCCAGACTGAAGGGGTTAATTGGTGTCCATCCAAGATCAATGTAATCTTTTATCTCATAACATACACTTGAAATCACAAATGCATGTCACAAAGCTCAACTAGCTAGAGAACACAGGCACATTGGACTTTGACATAGCCGAGGAAGGAAAAGGAACAGCATAATAGGAATCTTGCTGAGGAGATTGAAAGCTGTCATCTAACATCATTATCATCATTGGGAAGCTAACCCCAATAGTTGCAAACAGCCATATCCACCTTTTGTTTCCAACAGCGAGGGTGCCTCATGGTGAGCCAACAGGCAGGTATTTTGACCACCTCAAGCTCTTCAAATTCAATAAGGTATTTGAAATAAGTGCATCATGAAGCACTTTGGCAGATCCTTTCTTCCAAGGGTGGCTCAGTAAAGACTGTTGGATCAATAGTCCATTTTTGTGATTAAAATCTGGTAGAGTGTGCTGTAGGCATATCTAGCTTCTCTCCCTTGAATTCCAATGTGAAGCTATGATGTCCTTGCACTCATGTTCAATGCAAAGCCATACTTGGTAATATGAAACCTTTAACCCCCTGGATCCAGATGACGTGATCACGTAAAGGAAAAACTTGTGCAGCTACATGGGTGACATGAACAAAGCGTCAAGAGCAAAGGCCAGGGTGACAGAAGAGACTCGTCATGTGTACACAAACCTCTTGGAATGTGATTTGACTCATTTGGCGTTTAGAAGGGGGCTTTAGCATTATTCCTATCGATAACCGAATATGGAATGTAATGTGTGTATGCAGTGACTGAAAGAGAACTGGCACCAGGGAGGACGCCATTTCCATGCTGTGCACCATATTCCTGGCCGCTGTGACCGGCGGCGCAGGTTGTATTACGTAAAATTGAAAATTAGAAAAAATATGACATATGACACAAATAACCAAATGTTCCATATATATATATTTTTTTGTGCACTGAGCTATTTACTACATAGAAAGATGATATGGAGTCTGTGCAAGGAAAATAAGTAATTATCATCTGGATAAAGAAAATCAAAAGACATATATCAACATTGAAAAATGGCAATAAAGCTTTTAAGTTTTCAAAAAATAACTTCTCAAAGGGGAGGCACAGAGTCTTGTCACCACTCATGAGTGTTCGGGTGTGCCCAGCCTACATGCCAATGGTTACTTACATAACCATTGCAACTGGATCTAGGGGGGTTAACCATTGCATTTGAGCCATATGGATCACTAAACAAATAGCTGTTAGCTGCACAAGAGTCATATATGTTTTTTCATCAGCAAATGTTTCCTACTGTCATGATAAGTAGCTAGAAAAAAACAGTATTTCTGTTAGTGGGGGGGGGGGATTACAGAAAATAAGGAAATTACAGCACATGATTGCCATCATACACAAGGCTGACCACAACAAACTAGGTGAGCCAGTCCTGTATCACATGAAACCTTTGACATATTAACCTAATGCTGAAGGGAAAATGTTCCATTCACTTTACTATTGTTTTGTTAAATGTTTCTAATCATAGATGGCTCTGCAAGTGTTTAGCCACAAAGGAGTCAATTTGTAGATCTTGTGACCTCACCTTCTCTTGAAATAGCAGGAAAATGCATTTTTACTAATGCTATCAATATTGAAACTGTTATTTTTGTTATAAACATTATAATTACCATATTGTTATTGACATTGTCAACAATATTATATAATAGTAAATACCATTGAAAATCAAGGAAAAGAGTAAACAGGTGAGGCAGGTAGTTTTCATAATTGGCTCATTAGTGGCTTATTATTTGTGGACCCATCTACGTGTAAAACCAATTACTAAATCAAACACACAGTGGGCATGGCATGGATGCACATGCCATTGCCGGCAGTATATGGTTAACTATGGTCATCTTTCATGAACTTTTTATTTCATATTGTAAAAGAAATATTAAAATAAAAAACACACATGAAATATCAAACCCACATACGAGATTTAAGTATTGGTTGTACAGGTAAATAATACAAAAAATGTACCAGCATTTAAGGTGTTCAAAGACTTGTTTAAGTTGTGTAATAATACGTATCAGTGATGTTACAGTGACATTCTAAGTATTTGTATCCAATTGATTAAGGGTCACTACAGTTCAATGCAACTGTTGGTTATAAGGAGAACCCTGATGCAGAATGGACCATTATATTTTCCAGTAAAGAAGTGAATGATATTGGCAAGTAATAAGACATATGGACATAAATATTCATAAGAAAATAGTAAATATATACTGACTGTTTCACAATATTGTATATCACATACCTGATTTCAGCAAATGGTGAATACAGCTTATGGATGGTCTCTGCATCGAACAAGCAGCGTGCAGCGGTGTTCCATAGTGAAGGTCATTACAATTCAATATGGCACCCTCTTGAATGAGCAGTGCAACAATCTGTGTATGTCCTGTTAACAGAGTAAAAAATAACATAGAACAATAAAAATGTAAGATCATTACAGTTCTGGTAAATTCACTTCTTTGTACACTTGTCATATAGAACATAAATAACAATGATTGATGAGGATGGTAAAACAGTGATAAAAGGAAATATGATGAACACCTTAGGAAACAGTGACTAATGGAGACTGTCTCCTTTTTTTCGGCGTTTTTCGCCCATCTTGCCGAAATCGAGTTTTATGCATTTTCAATGAGTTCCTCGGCCCCTGGTTCTCCCCTGAAAATTCCAAGCCCAGACCGTTATTTTTTAGATGGTAGCAGCCATTTTTGATGTTGACTAAAATATCATTTTTTTCACGTTCTTAGAAAATCGGCAATTGTGATGCAATAATTAGAGATAATAAAAAAATGAGATTATTTTCTGAAAGCTTATTAAATTTCACATAAGATGAGACAAACCTTCATTTTTTTTCGAATTAAAAACATCTGGCAAGCGTCCAAAAAACGATAATGAAGAAATTTTTCATGCAAATAAATAAACATATGCCGTTCATATGGAGTATTTTCTTTTCTTTATGTTTTCTTACCCCCCTAAAATGAGGGTAGGATTGCCAAATGATCCGGGTCACCACCAAAACTTTATGGAATATTAAGTTAAGGCAAACCTCAGTTTTTATTTTTTTTATTATTATTATTTTTAATCAAAATCTGTTCATAACCTTTCGAATTGACAAAAAAAATCCTAGATCAAAACCATGGTGCACATCACCACCAAATTGCAATAAGCGTCTAAGTTAGGTTAAAATACACCTTTGGTTAAAATCTCATTAAAATGTATTCACCTTTACTTAAAATCTCATTAAAATGTATTCAGAACTTTAGAAATATAAGAAAACACAAACAAACAAACAAACAAAAACAGACGTAACAATATAAATAAACAAAAGGTCATGGGGTACAAGAAAATTATCTATATGTGGTGATATACCTAATATACATACTTTTACATCGCCCTGTAATTGTATTTCGTCTTTTCACCCGAGTCTGAGTGTGAAAATTGGCACTGTGGCCCCATAGAGTTAAACACCAATATTCCACAGATGCAAAGAAACGTCTGCCATCATCCGGCGACGCATATGATACCCGTTCAACTCGAGAACGGTTATTTTTTCCGACCAATGTTATATGTTGTAAAACCCCATTAGAGCAACAATAATAGGTAAATGATAGATAATTATATCATATACAAGTATTTCGTAAATGATTTGTCATGTAAAATGTATAAATAATGAAAAGGAAAAAGATCGCGAGTATTAGGTCCTTTACATCTTTACGCATTGTACACATATTTTCAGTCCGATTTTAACATATTATGGCTCCTTTTGTAGCTGAATAATAGATCTATAACATGATGCAATATGGGTTTGT